TATATATATATATATACATATATCTCTATATATATATCTCTGAAATATATATATATATATATATATATATATATATATATATATATATATCTAGCATATATATCTAATATATATGTATATTATATATATATATATATATATATATATATATATATATATATACATATATATCTAGTATATATATATAGTATATATATATATATCTAGTATATATAAAATATATATCTATATATATATATATATATATATATATATATATATATATATATATATATATATATATGATAGATAGATTACAGTGTTGTTCAAAAGTTTGAAGTAACCCTACAATTAGCATGTGATGAACTTGACAGGAGTGAAAAAAAAATGGAGAAAGCACTCTTAGATTCATTGAAAAAAAGAATCAAACGTATATTTTGAGAAACTTTGACAACGAATGTCAAAAATTTGTCCTGCAGTAATCAAGGCTGAAGGAGGACATTTTGACGAGTGCAAAATTTAATCATAAAATGCTTTTTCCCGTTTGGCATAATGAAATGTCAAATAAAGAATCATGGCTCACTTTTTACCATGGGTAATAATTTTCACTTATTTAAAATACAAAACAACTACATTTTGGGTCAATTTAAAAAAAAAATACTACAACTATAGTGTATATATATATATATATATATATATATATATATATATATATATATATATATATATATATTACTAGTTAAATTTCTCGAGGAGAAGGAAGGAGTTGTTAAAATGGTATAAGGAATTATGAGATTGGAAAAAAAACCCGGTTCGACAGGGAAAACAATGGCGGTACACATAGTCTTGTTAGTTTATTAAACTCACTGGGGCTGAGATGGTGGTAGAAAGACGGCATTACACCGATCTTCCAGTTGTGGAAGGCCTGCCTGCCTGCCTGCCTGCCAGCCAGCTTGCTAGCATGCCTCGAAAATCGGCACGCGAAAAACCTGTCTTTCAGCTGGGCTCAAACGCCGACCTCTGACACTAGCGTGAAAGATTTAACTCCGTCAGCAAGCAATCAAGCAAGCAGGCCATTCGTTGCGGACTTTTCTGATCATTCTGGTAAATATATTCAAAAGGTTGTTTGGTGAAGAGATATTTGTAATGTTTGGGCGTTTTCTCGGCTAACTTAGGAAAATAAGTGTTGCACTGATGCAAAGAATATCCTTGTTACCGCAGGTAGGTAGGTATAATGGAAATATATAATATCAACCCATATTTGAATAGTGTGAACGATGTGGTATGAATATAATTAAATCTATATATATAAATATATATATATATATATATATATATATATATATATATGTGTGTGTGTGTGTGTGTGTGTGTGTGTGTTTATCTTGAGTGAATACTTGTATTATTGAAGGTATTTATCCAAGTTGTGCGGGGTATATGATATGCCGTTTTCAGTGATGAGACTTAGGTTACTAAACATGGTCTTGTATTATTCCACCATTGTGTTTTTGTATTATTTTCTTTAAAAACAGAACCTACCCTTAATCCAAAAAAAAAAAATGTCTAAAGTTTGGGAAAAGTGGATATATATATATATATATATATATATATATATATATATATATATATATATATTGAAAAAAAAAAAAAAAAGAAAAAAAAAGGCATGATTTGTATGTATGGTTTGTCCGGGGGTATATTTTTTGGGAGAGAGGGTGTGGTTTACTGAGCGGAAAACATTATAAATCGATCGTCACGTGACCGTCTGACGTCATATGGGCTGGTGATCTGGCATGTAGGCTTCGTCATTCATATCGAAGCCGTCCACCGTGTCATCGTGCACCTCCCGATCCTCCATGTAGATTTTCGACTTGGGTTTTCGATCTTTTTTCGCCAAGCCGTACTGAACGTGCGTGTAATACAACACAAAGTTACTAACAATGATAGGCACAGTAAAAGCAACCATGAGCAAACCTGAAATGGCACACAGGGAACCTATAATGTAACCGAACGAGCTTTTCGGGTACATGTCCCCGTAGCCGACAGTCGTCATTGTGACAACACTCCACCAGAAGCCAATTGGAATATTGCTAAAACCTTCGTTGTTCTCCGCGAAGTACATTAACGACGCGAAGATGACCATTCCAATAACTAAAAACACACTCATCAGCAAAAGTTCGTTAAAACTAGCTTTCAGAGTGTAAAACAAAATCCAAAGGCCTGGTACATGTCTTATAAGACGAAATATCCGAAAGAGACGTGTGACACGAATAATAAACATGAAGTCCACGAAGGTGGCTTTAGGGCTTTGCAAAGGGGACACTCGAATGATGATCATCTGGACAAAGTCGGGCAGGACGGCCAAAAAGTCGATAATATTCTGTAAAGAGAGTAAAAATTTGATCTTGCGCGGAGAGAATATAACACGCATCAGGTATTCCATAGCGAAGAAGAGCAAGCACATCAGGTCGATGAAGACAATGGCTGGATGTTCGACTTGAATATCCGCTGGTTCCGCCATTGATACATTTGCTTGAATTTCGGCCATGGCGGCCGCTTGGGCCGTTCGTTGTATGTGTTTCTGCACTTTGCGAAAGCGCTGCTGACGTGAAAGTAACGGTAGATCATTTCTATGTGTTTCACCGAAGACAGGGGGACCCGAAAGCTGGGGTGCGTTTCGGCGCAGAAGGCAAATATTGAGAAGATGACGAACATTACGGACACCCAGGCGTAAATCTGTCAACAAAAAAAAAAAGAAGTAGAAAGATATTGGTTAGTAAACAAAGGAATAAACAATAATAATAATAAAAATGATTGGTTAGAAAACAAACAAATAAACGCTCAAATGTGATTGGTTAGAAAACAAACAAATAAACGCTCAAATGTGATTGGTTAGAAAACAAACAAATAAACGCTCAAATGTGATTGGTTAGAAAACAAACAAATAAAGCCTCAAATGGGATTGGTTAGATAACAAACGCATAAACAATCAAAAAAAGTGATTGGTTAAAAAAACAAGCGAATAAACACTTGAAAGTGATTGGTTAGAAAACAAACGAATAAACGAATAAACGCTCCCAAAAGATTGGCTGGAAAATAAAAGATTAAATTCTCAAATAAGACTGGTTAGAAAACAAGCGAATAAACTGTCAAATGTGATTGGTTAGAAAACAAACGAACAACAATCAAAAGTACTTGGTTATAAAACAAACGAATAAACGCCTAAGTGTGATTGGTTAGGGAATAAACGAATAAATAATCAGCAATTTTCTGATTTTTTTTTCCTTTCAGTTTTTACAACGTAGACAAAACATATATTACTATTTGACTTGTCTGCATGTACGATCGTTACACTCAGTAAAACAAAGCTGAGTGATAATTGTTGCTTAATCGGCATTAAGGAAATTGATGTAGCCAAAATGTCACGATAATCTTATGTCTTCTTTGTCTCCTAATCTTTTCTTTCTTTTTTTTTCTTTTTTGTTTTCTTTGTTTTTTCTTTTTACATACACATATATACATATATATTTTCCTATATATATATATTCATGTATATATATATATATATATATATATATATATATATATATATATATATATATATATATTTCATATATATGTAATCATATAAACATATTATATATATATATATATATATGAAATATGTTTATATGAAATATATATATATTTATATAAATATATATATGTTTATATATATTTGAAATATATATATATATATATATATAAATATATATATATATATATATATATGGATAGAAATATATATATATATATATATATACACACACACACATATATATATATATATATATATATATATATATATATATATATGAAAACGATTTTTAATAAGCATTTTGGGCTGTGAAGTTAATACATTATATATATATATATATCCTCAGAGAACGAATCACATTAGCTAAGAAGATTTTTATTGTTTCTTTTTTCATATATATATATATATATATATATATATATATATATAATTATTTAAATTATTTGATTTAAAAATATTTTTAAAATCACTATCTAAAATAGCCAATTTTTTTTAATGGACTTCCGATGTCTTATTTGTGATAATGTTGAATGTTAACCTATTTTCAACGCCATCACTTTTGATAAGACACCAAAATTACTGTTGAAACAAAATGGCTATTTTTGTAGTGATTTTATAACATATTTTTCTAGATAATTGTCGAATAAATAATTATATTTGTTGTATCTGTATTGAGCACTCTTTTAAGAATAGTATTTTTTTTTTGTTTATTGAAATTTATTCCGTATACACCAATCCTATACTTGGTTATATATATATATATATATATATATATATATATATATATATATATATATATATAAAACGTATATACCCTTTATAAGTTTGACCAATGTATAGTCTGACCTCTGAAAAAACCTGATTTTTTATATAACTCGTGTCTAATGCGATCACATATTCTGTGCAATATTAATAGATTTACCGTAAACAAATATTGCAGTACTGGGTAACATCCTGGACATGTTTTATAGCAAATCAATGCTCTTCATTCTTATGTTGTACAATGTTACCCCAAAATCGTGAGGGAAAAAAAACACTTAGTTTAAAATATCTGATACGAAAATTTGTATACCCTACTATTGCTTGGGTCCATGCCTGACTACGGTAGCTCCTTTACCCGAGGCCTGCCGCCTACGTAGCCCCAGTTTTTTCTCTTTTGTCGCTACATAATGACCCAAACCTCATCCACATTGTCTGCTACTTAAAATCAACAAAGACCTTATATAAATGAAGAATTCATAGATCTTTTTCCTATCTCAAACTTGCATTCATCTTTCCCAAATGTTTACATCGCTGAAGTGTTTCCTTTCTCATTAAAACCTTTTTGCCAGTATTACCTGTACATAATGATTAAGGAGATTACCTGTACCATTCAGGTTAGCCAAAGTTACCAAGAGAATGTAGGCCTATCAGGTACTTTACGGTCACCAAAAAGGCATGAATTTTAACCCCTCCAGAAAAAATTATATTTAAAATGCAGCCGTCCACCGAAAATGCATGATTTTAACCTCATTACAAGAGAATGCCATACTGCAAAGAATGCCAGGTTTATAAGAAAACACATTCTGTTCTTGTGGTCTCTGATCACGATATTTGGGCGATTAGCTTTGGTTGTTATGTCTGTGTGTCTCATAAAATCCCATAAAATTGTTACAAATCCTATTTCCGTAACCATGTCTGGGTGGTGTTCATACCTATTTCTTCCAGTTTCCTTAGCGTAAATTTGCATATTTTCTCCCCGTGTAGGTATTGACCCACTCTATCTTGACGAGTTTTATATTCAGTAGATGCTAACACCGGGAAACCTGATACAAGATGGTCAAATGTTTCTGGTATTTCGGATTAACACAATTGTTCATTATGTGTGCTATGGTAATTTCTAGTTAGCAAATATTGGACCTGTACAGCAAGAATAAAACCTTCGCTTTCATCCTTTAACCCTGGACAACATAATCACTAATCGGTAAGGGTTTGTCTCTATCAGATTCTTTGGTACGGGCAGAGTATTGACCATGAAAAGGGTTAACTTGCCATCGTTTCTATAGTTGGGGCATTGCATTTGCTTTTACTTTCTTTTTTTAAGGTTCTTTCTCTCTTTAGTAGATGTATAATAGTTTAATTATACTTCTTCGTCCATTTGAAATTCCTTTTTGAATTTATTGGCTTCCTTTATTACTGAATAAAGTCTTTTTTTGTTTCTTTTATGTTCTTTAACACAGATCATCATCCAGTATTTTGTAATTTTCATATATCGATGTGATTTTTTTCTTATTTCTACTTTGATATTTCTGTCTGTTTGAATTGTAAAGTCCCATTATTATTATTATTATCTTTATTTTATTTCCTTTGATTTCTGATGTGTACTCATTTCTTTCCTAAGGTTAGAAATGGTATCATGACATTTTCCACTGGAAAAAAAGAAAAAGAAAATTACATAGATAAAGCCCTTCGTAAGGTGGGGCTGTACTAATGAGAACAATTTTTGTATTTCTTTAAGGCATGGGCTTCAGGAATCCCTTCAATTAGTTACTGGAATCTTTTCCAGCTTTTCTTAAAATATATTACTAAAAAATAAGGATTGTTGATGTTCCCCATGTGCCACATTTTCCACATTTTGAGATTTCTATTTTTTATTATTATTATTATTTTATTTCCTTTGATTTATGATGTATATTTCTTTCCGGGTCCCGCCCAGGGACCTAAGGTTAAAAATGACATCACAGACAGACTTTTCCACTGGAAAAAAAATTATCAGTGGCTAGAGCCCCACGTAAGATGTGGTCTGTAAAAAGTCATGATTTGGCACAATTTTTTGTATTTTTTGAGGCATTGGGATTTATTTTTAACCTTCAATGAGTCTAGAACTGAATTCATTTAGAAGAGTCTCCGAGGGCTCCAACGGGGATTGTTGATGTTCCCAAATGCCACATTTTTGAGATTTGATTAATTATTATTATTATTATTGTTTGTCACAATGCTACATGTGATACACACTTGGGCGATCATGTGTCTTTCGATTCCTGATTCAATAGGCAGAAGGTTTGTCCCTTTTTTTTCTGCATTAGAGTGGTTAACCATCTATAGGACCCGGGCTATCCTGCTATTCAACACATAACTGGAGCGGTTCATACCTTTCCTAAAGGTATTTGCGCCCGACTAGAATTCGAACCCGGCTCGTCGACATCTCATTCCGAGCCGATGTCCATTACACCACCTGCACACCCACCACATTGGTCACTGGAAATTTTGTTCTTGAGGCATGGTCTCAACAAATCCCCTCACAGCTCAAGGACGTTTTTGGAGACTCCTCGCAGAATAAAGAACATTATTATTATTAGTAGTAGTAGTAATAGTAGTAGTAGTAGTATTTCTTTCTGACCTGCATTTAAGTTACAATCACATACCAGCTTATGACCAATGACTGACTACAAGTGAAGGTTGTGATTTTTTTGTTGTTTCTACTTACTGTATTTGACGTCATATAAGACGCACGGGTGTATAAGACGCACCCCAATTTCAGTAGGGCAAATAAAGAAAAAATTAGTAATTAGTAAAATTATTAGTAAATGGCACAGCCTAGACAATGTTTATGAGGTATTATTTTGTTAAAACAATCCAGGATTACAAATAAACGAAAAATAATAGGAAAAAAAAACAAGAGCCTATAAAAAAAAACTTTTATATCCAAAGGTAAGAAAACAAGTTAAAAATCAAGCAATTATTACAATTGAGCAAAACAGTAAAGTTACCATTAAAATTCAGTCAAAAATTTTCCTTTATATGATCTGTACAACCTGCGTCTTGTAAATGTCTTAATGGAATAATTAGGATATAAAAATTCTGATTTTATTTATACCAATGGAACCGGAAGTTATCGCAAGAAAAATATTAATGAAACAAATATATTTTACAAATATATAATTTGAATTTATTGCATATAATTT